GCTGTACCTGCCTTGTCATTTTCCACCCAAACCCTTCCGCGACAGTTAGGTAGGCAGACTGCCAGAGAATTAAGCGTATTTGTACAGATGTATACCGACGCAATACCGCAAATATTAATCGGGCAAAAAAAATTGGCCGCTGTTAGTGAGTCGTAAAATACGTTGTGTGCTTGACATAGGAGTAGCGTTGTCATTGACAGCATTATGGTGGGTAGCTCACGGCCACGTACAAATTAGTAGGCAGAAACGTCATGACGAATTCCAGAGTGGAGAAAGGGTATTGGCAACTGGCACTTGTGAGTTGAGTTGGCACTTGTCAGTTTCATGATATGGGAGTACTACGAAGCCAAAACTATAGGAGTGAGCAAATCAGTAAGAACTAATCCCGCTGATGCGCGTGCAGTAAATATATTAGAACACACTATGCATTTGCTGGAGGTGGGCTGGGAGACCAAGCTATTGTAGAAGATCAATGCAGCTTCCGTTCTTGACAGTCGCTCAACGGATTCAAAATGTCTGAATTTTGTTGAGTGTAGGTTGAACAAAGACAAGGCATACGCGATGTTGTATAGCACGGAGATAGATCAATTTATCTGTCAACGGTTTGCAGTAAAAGTGACTAGTGATACAGCCACCACGCATTTGTGGTATCTCCCGCACTTCGGGGTAACAAGTGCGTCCAAACAGGGTACGGTTAGGATTGTGTTCAATGCAGTGGCAAAGACGAACGGCATGAGTCTTAATGATTAGCTGGACGAGGGGCCAGACCTCTTAGAGTCGCTGCCTGTTGCGTTGTTACGTTTTTGGCAGTATGCAGCAGAATACAAGTCAAATATTAATGATATGTTTCTTTGTATTGTTGTGCGAAGGAACGATCGCAGTGCATTACGCATTTTGTGGTGAGGGATCAATAGAGTTTGATACCCTCAGACGCATCAAATGACCTCATTAGTCTTTAAAGCTACCTTGTCACCATGTAGTGCCCACTACGTAAGGGATGCAAAACAAATTAAAACATCGAAGCCGGAGGCCTCATAAAGTGTCATGATAAATACGTATGTGGATGACTACCTCGTCAGTCCACCATCCGCCGCAATTAGAATTGTTTGTAGCTGATTTTATCAAAATAAATAAGCGTGCTAACTTTTAAATGCACAGCTAAGTTTCTAACAAACTAAGAAACGTAGACAGTGGGAATTGTATGACATCAAATGGGGTAAGGGCCAGTCACGCTGCACTGCGTCTCTTCTCTCGAAAATTAAAGCTGATTCAATAAAAGGAAGTCGCCTTTTTATTCACCCGCGTACACACACTAATTCCCAAAAGTTCTCGTCAACTCCTTAATCCACACGATCTGGCGTAACAACAGTGCAGGAGCACTGCCTCCCGGGCATCATCCCGCACATTGGTCCTTCGAGCCGGATAGGGACAGGGCGACGTGAACAAGACGCCGAGATTGCCGAGCTACCCGCTCGCCCTTCGCCACACATCGTCAGCTGCCAAAGCGCGCCGAGCCGTGCGAGCTTCCAGATCGTTGACGGCCATCTTTGCCTGCGCCTCCGGTGCACACACCACGCAGCCGCACCCGCCGCTGCTGCTGTGCTCTGCTGCGTTCTCCCGTACGTGGTGCTGTGGTCGTCGTCGCCAAGCCCGCCCTATACACGGAGCTGTAGGCCGTCGCCACACGCCGAGGTTGCCGAGCTACCCGCTCGCCCTTGGCCACACATCGTCGGCTGCAGAAGCGCACCGAGCCTTGCGAGCCTCCAGCTTGCTAACGGCCATCATCGTTTGCGCTTCCGGCGCACGTGTGATCGTCACAGCCGCGCCTGCCGCTGCTGCCGCGGCCATCTTTGTTTGATTACAGGTGGCCAGCCTGCCTGAGAGCGTCGTCGTTTGGCGACGTGTCACATCAGCGTTGTTGCTGCTACGCCGCTGTGCGCGCACGTCATTTTGAAGAGCTGCCACTGCTGCTTGCTCCTGCTTCTTTGCAGGCTACGGATCAGCTACGTGGGCCGACGCTACGCACCACTACTTGCTGCCGACGTCGCTCACTACTGCTTGCTGTTGACACGGGCCGTACGCATGCTGATCGCTGCCGCCGCGAGCTTTCCGAGCTCCGTGCTTCTACTCAACGAGCTTTACTTAACAGCTGATCGTCAATCAGGTTCATTTACACAATTGCGTTTGTGTTAGCGTTCTTAAAATTATATCAACTACTTAGTACTATTAAATTCCTCGCTATTGTTAATCGAATTAAATTCAACCTATTCTAACACTTGCGGTCTGATTATTATTCGCGAGTTACAATCTAAGATTGTTTTAGTGGTACTGTATTGTCGGTATTGATTGTAACGAGAAGCGCTGCCACGTGGAGCACTAATTTGCGTTTGTTCGCGTCACCCATGTTTGTTCGTGCTTCCTGATTTAATCTCGGATCGCTGGATTCAAAATTCCCTTCGGGAAAGCTCTTCGGAAACGCTGTTTTTTACTCAATTTCCTACAAAATGGCTGATTTAGAAACCCTTTACGCACAGCAGCTAGTGCTCTACACCAAAATAAAAAATGCCTTCGCTAATTTCCGAAAGTTAAGAGAAGCAAAAATGACTCGGGGTCAATGCAAGACTCGGAGTAAGGTGGTTAAGGATTCGTACAATTAAATGTTAATGATTTATGATCAAATTTTAAATCTTGATGGAGACCACAGTGGACATGAATACATTAAGAAAAACTTGATTAATTTATTTAAAGAGACCTATTGCTCAGTCGCAGGTGACTTCGAGGATTATGTATCTAAGTTTGACTCTCCCACCTCGCCGACCGCGAACCCCAGCTCAGATTTCACCTTAGCTCTACATAGTCTGTCTTCGTTACCCTCTGTTAACATTCCTACGTTTTCAGGAAATTTTGAGGCATGGGAAAGCTTTCGCAACGTTTTTAAGGCCTTAGTCCACCAAAAAATCGAGCTCCCCACAATTATTAAGTACCAGCACTTGCGAACCCATGTGACCGGAGAAACAGCCAACCTGATAAAAAATATTCCCCTCTTGGGTGAAAACTACGCACAGGCCTGGGACGCTCTTATCAGGTATTATGACAATAAGCGGCGATTGGTAACTACATACACAGGTACGATTCTTAGTTGCTTAAATATGAAATCCAACTCCTGTGCAGAAATGAAGCGCTTAGCTAAGGAAATGTTAGGCCCCCTAGATTTTCTCGTCACTTTGAGTAGAGAAAACGGAAGTGAAGACGTTCTCATCGCTCTCATCGTTAGAAGGTTTAATAATTTTGCCAATAGAGATTGGCAGAAGCATCTAGGTAGTAGTGACGAACCTCCGACTCTTGATCGTTTGCGTGAGCTCATCGCTGCACAAATCATTACATTAGAGACGTTAGAGTCGACTAAACGGAAGCCTAACCCAGGTCAATAACCTGACTTTTTAAAATCCAAACAGAAATCTTCATTTGTACATCAGAACACTGCATCTCCTGATGAGTCAGGATCTCCTAGCTGCTTTCTTTGTAGTAAGTCCCATCGCTTGGACTCTTGTCAGTCCTTTCGAAATAAATCGCTCGATGAAAGGAGGCAGATCATTAACGATAGACAACTTTGTCTCAACTGTCTTGGGCAACATTTTGTTAGGCAGTGCAAAAGTAAGTTCTCCTGTTTAGTTTGCCACCGGAAGCACCACACCATGTTGCACAAGGAAGAGGTTAAGTCTACTCTCGCGAAAGGTCCAAACTTGTCAAGCAAATCTATAGATAGTAAAGAGGGAGATTCTGACAAGCATCAAGGGTCTCAGTCCGACCAAAGCCTTTGCGCTACCGCTAGCTTGTGCCTTAGCCCTAGTTTCCCCTCGGGACCCAAAGTTCTGTTAGCTACCGCTCGAATTTATGTTCGTGGTCCCCATGGTCAGAAAGTTTTAGTAAGAGCCTTGGTTGATCAGGGCTCTCAAAGTTTCTTAATAACTTGCTCGCTTTGCGATACGTTGAGCCTAAAAACTTACCCAGCTAGTATTTCGTTGACTGGTGTAGGTGATTCTTGTACGACCTCTGTTCGGAAGAAAACCTATATTACTTTCCAACCTCACTTCGAATCGAGTTTTAAGTGTGATACCGAGGTGCTAGTAGTTCCGAAAATTTCTTCTTATAAGCCTCCAATTTCAAGGAGCTTACTAACACTACCTCACATTCAAGGACTCCAACTTGCAGATCCTGACCTATACGCTCTAGATAAAATAGACGTTCTGCTCGGAGCCTCGGTCCATGCTCATGTTATTCAAAACTCGATTTGACGGGGCCCTGCAAATCAACCTATAGCCTCCGCATCCAGCATCGGATGGCTACTGTCCAGACCTGTGCCTCATCCACCGGAAAATGTCCCTTCTGCAAAGTGGGAAAATAACATATTCACTGCCCAACCCGAAGATGTTACCGTAATGCACATCTCTAAAGACCTTGATCTAATTGAAATAGTGCAACGATTTTGGTTAGTCGAAGAACCCCTCTTCATACCAGAGCTCAAGGGAGAGTATCTTTATTGCGAGGAACATTTTGTTCACACGCACTTGCGATCCTCGGACGGTCGATTTGTGGTCAGACTTCCGTTGAAAGGTTAAGTCGCCGACGCTCTTTCCCTTCGGGAAAGCTCTTATAATATGGCGCTCTCCATGTTTCGCCAACAAGAAAAAAGGTTTAGGAATAACCCTCACCTGTTCGAGTCATACAAGACCTTTATGGCTGAGTACCTGGCTCTTGGTCATATGCGCGAAGTATCGAATTCGAGCCTAGCGAAGTGTTTTCTTCCTCATCATGGAGTTTTGAAGACCAATACGCCAACTCCTAAGCTGCGAGTTGTCTTTAATGGCTCTGCTAGGAACAGAGGTGGTCAGTCTTTAAACTCCTTACTCCACACAGGTCCAAATCTCCTGTTAACTCTTTTCGAGCTGATTCTCAGGTGGTGGTTTTATTAGTTTGTCTTTACCACCGACGTAAAAAAGATGTTCCGGCAGATTCCAGTTCATCCAGACGATCAAACTTTTCAAGCGATCCTTTGGAGACCTGACGTCTCTTCTCCGATCAAAACCTACTTTCTTACTACCGTCACTTATGGTCTCGCGTGTTCCCCGTTCCTGGCGACTCGTGTCTTACGCCAACTTGCCTCTGAGCATGCTGAATCGCATCCTAGAGCTTCCAGGATTCTTCGCGAGGAATTTTATGTAGATGACTGTTTGTCAGGCGGTCATTCGGTGGAGGAGGCCTCAATAAAATGTGAGGAACTCACGGAACTGGCACGGTTAGGTGGATTTCCTCTTCGCAAATGGTCCTCTAACTCGCCGCAGGCTTTGGCTAGCGTCCCTCTTAACCATCGAGTCAACCAGCCAAAGACTTTGCAAAAAAATCCAGAAGCCATTTCAGTCCTTGGACTGTGTTGGGACCCCCAGACTGATGAATTTGCTTTCAAATTCACGGTTGATGAGTTTCCTAATCTCTGGACCAAGAGAAACTTGTTCACCCAGACTTCCCGGTTCTTCAATCTTTTGGGCTGGTTCTCATTGGTGATAATAGTTCCAAAGATGTTGCTACAATCACTGTGGTTACTTAAAATTTCGTGGAACACGCCCCTTCCAGACTCAGTTGTTGAACCTTGGGTCAGGTGGTTGAGTGAGATTCCTTAACTCAATCAAGTGAGGATTCCCCGTTAGAACTTTTATTCCCCTAGTATCCGGTTAGAGATCCATGGATTTGCTGATGCGTCTAAGTCAGCCTACGCCACTGTCGTCTACACCTGCGTGGTTGTAGAAAATATTGTTCACGTGTCGCTTTAAATAGCCAAGACCCGAGTTGCCCCCCTTAAGGTGCTGAGCATTTCTTGGCTTGAGTTGTGCGGTTCACATCTACTGGCTAAAGTCGTAAGACACTTTACTGATAGCTGTCCTTGTGATGGAGTTCCCATCCACCTGTGGACGGATTCTCTTAATGTCCTCCACTGGCTTAACGCTCCACCGTCAAAGTGGCCGGTCTTCGTAGCCAACAGATGTTCAGACATCCACCACTTGATGCCGAGCGTTAAATGGCATCACATCTCCTCAAAACAGAACCCAGCTGATCTGTCTTCTAGAGGCATTTTTCCTAGTCAGCTAATTGCCAAGCAGTTGTGGTTTCATGGCCCAGACGTGTTGCATGAGACTGATCCCCAGTACCCTGACCTGAAACTTGAAGTCATCGAGCCATCTCCCTCATTGAACCTCGTAGCAAGTTGTTTAAAAAAGGAGCCTGACTCCTTCGTTACCTCGCTCCTTAGCCGTTGCTCTCATTGGTTCAGGTTAACACGGGTCACGGCTTACGTCCTGCGTTTCGCTTATCGATGTCTTGGTAGACTGAGGCAGTCATCCTTAACGACATCTATGCATTGCACTCACCTGAGTTTCATCAAACGTGAAGCTTTTGCTCGATACATTTATTCCAGCTTGACTACCATTGAGTTAGAATCGGCGTCTCTGCTTTTGATCTTTGATCATCAACAGCGTCATTTTGCTCATGACATTGCCGTCTTGAAACGCAACGCTAATCTGCCCATTAGTCAACAGGAGCATCTTCCTGCCTCGAGCCATTTGCGTAAGCTCGCTCCTTTTCTCTCTGATGGATTGTTACGAGTTGGAGGTAGGCTAAGTAACGCTTTGCTCGACTCTAACGCGAAACACCCACTAATCTTGTTTGGTAGAGATTCTCTCATCCTGTTACTTGTTAAACGCTATCATCTTCTTACTCTTCACGGTGGTACCCAAATAACTTTGACCGCTCTTCGTCGAAAGTACTGGGTACTAAATGGTCGTCAGATTGTAAGTTCTGTGCTGTCTCACTGCTTGACCTGTCGCCGGTATGCTGCACAGCCACAAACGCAGTTGATGGCAGATCTGCCAGCTGCAAGAGTAACTCCCTCACCAGCATTTCTAAGAACTGGTGTGGATTACGCCGGTCCTTTTCCTGTTCGTTTAGCAAAGCACCGCGGGAGAGGCACCCTTAAGGGCTACGTTGCGGTCTTTATTTGTATGGTCACGAGAGCTGTACATCTGGAGGTCGTCGAAGACTATACTGCCGACTCTTTCATAGTGGTCTTCCTACGTTTCACGTCTCGTCGTGGCCAGTGCTCCGATCTCTATAGTGATCGAGGCACTAACTTTGTGGGGGCTGATCGAGGGATGAGCAAAATGTTGATCGATCGTCATAAAAACGTCTCCTTTGCCGATGCTCTCTGCACCCTTGGAACGCAATGGCACTTCAGCCCCCTTTCGGCCCCCCATTTTGGTGGTTTATGGGAGGCTGCAGTCAAATCGACGAAATTTTACCTTAAGAGAGTCATCGGAAACCAAGTCCTTACCTTCGTCGAATTTTCCACGTTGTTATGTAGGATCGAGTCATGCCTTAACTTGGGGCCTTTGGCACCCTTGACAGACGATCCCTCCGATTTAAGTCCACTAACTCCTTCTCACTTTTTAATGTTCAAATCTTCTTACTCGACACCAGAGCCTGACTTAACTTCCGAGAAAATCTCGCCTTCACAACGGTGGAAGCTACTGTCCCGAGCCTTACAATGTTTTTGGTGCAGGTGGTCAGCAGAGTATCTTAGCTCTCTCCAAACTCGTGAAAAATGGGTCTCTCCCCAACGGTTGTTACAGGTAGGGGACCTAGTATTAATTAAAAACGAGAACACTTCTCCTGGCAAGTGGCCTCTTGGAAGAGTCAAAGATGCTTTTGAAGACCCAAAGGCGATGGTGCGAGTCGTAAAGGTTAAAACTCAAAGTACTATCTTAACCAGACCAATTCATAAGTTAATTTTGCTACGTACCGTTTCCAAAATCGAATCAACGGGCACACGTTAAGTAATTAAGTAATTATTTAAGAGACGGTACAACTATTTTCGCAGTCCAACCTCACTGCCCCTCTTATTGTATAGTTTATAAATATAATAACACTTAGAATTGATTCAAAAAATTGCACATTTTTTCGCTTTATAATTTATAACTTTCTCTTTTGCTTCGTTTCTGGTGACACTCATTGTACCAATTTAAAGAAATTAAGAAAAAAATACCTTTATACAAAATTGTACCAATAATTTGATTTATTGTAAGTGAAAAGCGCTCCACAGTTATCTTTTCTATTGTTTGCCATTGCTTTGATTCATATTGTCTCTGAGCTAGTTTTTATACCTGTTGAAGGACCTAATTTTCATATTTTTCTTGATGTTCATTCAATCTGTTTTCTGTACATCAACTCGGGGAGTATGTATGACATCAAATGCTTGATGTCATTTGTGTGCGTGTATGTGTGGGAAAAGTGTTTTCAGCCGAGTGCTCCACGCGTGTGCTCTGAGTGAAAAGCGCATGCGCCGTGCTAGAAAGAGACGGTATGACTGAGCTCCGTGCTCTCCCCGGCTTAACATCGCTCCACCAAGTCAGTCAGCAACTGCTCTGCATCACAAGAGGGAGTAAGGGCCAGTCACGCTGCACTGCGTCTCTTCTCCCTCCTGTGTAAGAAAGTCAATGTACGCGAGTGTTCAGTTCCGAACGAAAATTAAAGCTGATTCAATAAAAGGAAGTCGCCTTTTTATTGACCCGCGTACACTACAACTCCTAAAAGTTCTCGTCAACTCCTTCGTCCACACGATCTGGCGCAACAACAGTGCAGGAGCACTGCCTCCCGGGCATCATCCCGTACAGGGAATGCACATGTGAGTGTACAACTTGGACCAACGTTGTTGTGCGACGAAATATCAGAGCATACACTAGGTATATACTGGGATTTCTCAGCCAACACATTGAAATTTAATGTAAGGATGGATTATACTCCCAAAGAAATATTTTCAGGTAATAAGTGGCCAGCTAAGAGGTAATACTTATGCATCATGATGTCGGTGTACGATTCACTGGAGCTGCTCGGGCCGTACACGCTAAAAACTCAATTGATACTGCAAGCGGTATGACGTAGCAAGATACGGTTGGATGATCCGCTGGGTAACAACGAGTTTAAGGAGTGGCTTGTGTGGTTAAATATGGTACAGAAGCTCAGTAAATTGTGTATTCCACAGTTCATCACTCTCAAAGGGCAGAAAGTTAAGAGTACCCAACTGAATGCATTTTGTGCCACTTGTACCAGAGCTTACGTGACGTGTGTGTATTTACGTTGTGAAACAGATAATAATAATATTCACATGACACTTTTAACTGCAAAATCGCGCATTGCTTCTGACAGAACATTGTTTGTACCGCAGCTAGAGCTATAGGCAGCGGTCTGGGCTCTGCGTCTTCTCAAGCTAGAGATCCCGTGTGAGCAGCAATATTTATCGTCAGATTTACAGATGGTATTGCTATGGTTAAAGAAAGATCCATGGATGAGGCAGGTATTTGTTGCACATCAGTTGGGTGAAATTACCGGGTGAACAGTGAGCGCAACATAGAGGTGGGTTCCTGCCAAGCAAAACCCGGCCGACCTAGCTACAAGGGCAAAGATGATGGATGACGGCACAGCGACTACATAGTTCTAGGGGCCCGCATTTTCAAAATTACATGAAGATTAATGGCTGGTAGCGAAAGCTCTGACGCAGGCGAAATATAAATCATTCAATGGAAGAAAAAGGTGCATGGAACGCGTTTGCACTGAATCCAGCCATGAGAGCTACAAACCTCTAATATCGCGATTGCTGGAGTAGAAGGGATTAAGTATAGCAGCGAGACGCGAGTGCAAATATCTCAAGTGATGGGCGCGACAGCCAGAGATAGACGATCCAGGAATCGGAGAGCAATCAGCCATAGAATACATTCTCCGAGGCACGCAAGCTAATAGTTTTCAAAAAGAATTGCTATCTCTTTAGCAAGGGAAGAAACTAAAAGCTGAAAGTAAACGAGCGTGCTACTTGCCATATTTAGATGAACGGGGTATGCTCCAAATACGCGGCCGAGTAACAAAAATATAAGGCATTGTAGTCAATCACACGCCAGTTATGCTTAATGCGAGGCATCCTACGGTACGCGCTTTAACACATGACTATTACGAAATAGAAAATTATCACGTTAATATATCAAATGTAATGTAATACAAGCTCCGCATTATTGCGTCAGCCCTAACTGGGCGAGCGACGAGGTAAATAAAAAGGCACGTAAGAAGCTAGTTCCGCTAAAGAGCCATAGGTGAGAGGGTTTACGATGGAAAAGCAAGTGGTGCAAGGAGTGGGTGTGCGTATGAATTAGAGATATAGTGTGTTTGTAACTGTGGTGAAAGTAAGTGCTGTTGTGAGAGCTTTTTTCTTATGATTCTAGTCAAATGAAATAATAAGTAAAATGTGAGTTGTGGCAACCTCTTTTATTGTTGTCGATCCTCCTTTTGTCAATTACACACCATCCTTATTTACTGTAAGTAGTTATTTATGATTACTGTTACGTCCAAAGATCGGTGAATAAATTATTTGTGAACAAACATGAATAGTTATATATTTCAATGGTACAGCAGAAGAAAATTGACGAATTATGTATACTTTGTTGCTATGAATGTAAGCTTCACTCGTAACGTTACGTTTAACTCCTAATGCGTTTATCTTTAGAACAGCTGATATGAGAGCAACATCATCATCATCATCATCATCATAATTATCATTATCATTATCATCCTTATGTAGGAGCAAGAGAAAGATGTTTTACGTCAGTTTAAGTGGAGACGCGTGGTTGTTAAAACAATAACAGACCATTAAGGTTTGGAAAAAGTTAGGCTGAGAAAGTGCTTATTAAAACTTTTAAACAAATTACAGACCTCTTAATGAAAGTTTCTGCCTTACGTAAGAACAAAAAAAATTGTAATCCTTTTGTTTCTTACGACCATTCTTATAGTAAGAACAATTAAAAAGTTATTAAAACTGATAAAGAAAAGCACCAAAAAAATAGAAAAAAGTGATCTAACATCTGGATCTGCCATTAGTAAAAGTGATGACAATACTGATCTAAAGTACACTTTTTAAAGTCAATCTGTCTATTTAGTGTGAATCAGTAACAATTTATTAAATAATTTTCATTTATAAATACTCGATCAGAACCAAAAAGATTTATTAGGTTTAAAGTACAGAGTACGAGAAGGATATAAGCTGTACAAGTTTCGTGATTTGCGAATAGACTTTTAAAATAATAGTTTTAAAACAAACTTAATAAATTATTTATTGAGTGCTGGACTTATAAAGCTGCTCTTTAAAAGTATTCTTATAAATCTCTTGTGGTACAGATAATTTAGAAAATACTTTACAATATTACAAACTTTGAATTCTTACAGGAAAGGATTTAAAAAAAACAGAGCTATATTAACCAATAATAGTAATAAGTAAAATGAAATTATTGCTCCAATGCTCGATATAACGGTCCGCATAAAAAGTAGCTCGTTGTTACCTCATTAAACTGCTCAAATAACACAGTAAGTAGATTATACACATTGGGATGATCCCATTGAGTTAGTAGATTGTTTTCGCATATTACCAGCTGTAACGTCAGCAGATCATACAAGTCATGTTAGTTGAATTGTACCAACCTTTGCAAAGTTTCCAAAAAAAGGCTATACACACGTTTATTGACGGGCACATTTTTTGCTTCTGTACAAAAATTAATGTTAATGTATTCGGTCGAAAACTAGGTAAAACCAAAGGTGATAGTCAAGTTCCTCCGAGTATTAGATACAAACTTACCATTGGTGGGCAGTATAAGTTTTGTAACAAAAGACGATGCAATGTTAGAGCACCGAAACAGTGTTAAGGTGCAGTATATTGTGCATACTTGATTGAAATAATTAAAAGGCTTGAAAAAGAAGTAAATACTTTACGTATTCTTATGTTCAACTCACAAAAAACATTTTTATGTATTCAAGCTGATTTAAAAAATTTTAAACCTAGACAATTAATACATTGAGAAAATTGTTAAGGAACTCCATAAAGTAGTAAGATATAACTATCCTCGACAGAAATTCAATATACGTGGCTTAGATAAGACTTGGCAAGCAGACCTTGTAGACATGCAGCCTTACGCTCGTGAAAATGAAGGGTATTGATGTACATTTGCTATAATAGATGTTTTCTCAGTGTAAGCATGATCTGCACCCATAAAAAAACTTGGTGAAGAAGTTACTGCAGCAATGCATTCAATATTGACAGAGGACGTGTACCCACAAACATGCAAACTGATTGTGGCAAGGAATTCTAAAATGCAAACTTTTAAAATCTCATCCAAAAATATAAAATAAATTTGTACCTAACTTACAGCAATCTCAAAGCGTTCATATGCAAGCAATTTGTGCGTACTGTAAAAGATTTGATAAAAAAAAAAAATTTTATTGGCAGGGCAATTATGAATAGCTGAATGTGTTACAAACGTTAATTAAATTTTATAGTAATAGAGAATGTCAAATAATTAGCATAAAACCAAAAAATGCTACTGTTAACAATAAAGTTATAGTCATAAGAAAATTTTAAAAAGTGTGTAAGAATAGTAGTCAATTTAAGGTTAAGTTTAAAACTGGTGATAAAGTTCAAGCAAGCAAAACCCAAGCAAGCCTTTAAGAAGGGGTACACACCAAATTGGTCAAAAGAAATTTAAACTATCAATACACAAGTTGCTGCAACAAATTAAAAAACGTATTATCTCAAAGATTACGGAGATAAACCTTTTTCTAGAGATTTTAGCAAACAAGAACTGCAGAAAACGAAGCACCTTGATTTATACCTCATAGAGAAGATCTTTCGATGGCATGGCAATCAAGTTTTTTTCAAACAGTTG